TTCCGAGGTGGGTAAAATGAGGACCCAGATTGTTGGGAGCCATATGCTGACTCTGTAAACCGCTTAGAGAGGGCTGTAAAGCACTGTGAAGCAGCATATAAGTCTAAGTGCTATTGCTATAGATGAATATGCATTTTGAGTGCCAGAGGAGGAGTAGAGAAAACAAAAAAAATATCCAGGTCTTTCTTCAGGCACCTTAAAGTTGTTGCTTCTTTAAGAGCCACATAATGAGTCCATTCCTTGCTGCTGGGTAGGGGAGCAAGGGATTATGAGCCTGGCTGGGAAACTGTCACGGTACATTGAAAATGAACATTACATGACTGCAGCAGCCGCCAGGTGTCATGGGTCCTGGATTTTGGACACATTCTGTAAGTTAGCTACTTGAAGCACTTTGGTTCAAAAATCGTTGCCCATGATGCACTGCCTAGTTAAAGATCATCACGAGAAGGATTTTAGTAGTATGTAGATACCAAGCAAAGCCATTTATAAATGTTAAAACTCACCAATAAAGCAGCCAAAGCAATTGCAATCTAAGTCAAGTCATAACAATCAGAAGACCCAAAGGTGCTTTTTTCAGGAAGCAACTGGACTTTCTTGTTTTTTCTTTGAAGACGTTTCGCTTCTCATCCAAGAGGATTCTTCAACTCTGACTGGATGGTGGGGAATGGAAGGATTTATATTCCTTGCAGACAGCTGGTCATTTGTCTCCTTTTAGAGAGTCATTGAGGCCACTTGGAGGTTTATCTGTGTCCCCAGGGTCACCTGAGTAGTGCAAATGGGTGTGGAGCCTACTTTGGCTGCAGGATGATTTCTGCCCTGTGTCCCTTCACTGTTGAAGGCAGGCGCAGGCTGTTGGGGATGAGTCTGTGTTGTCTGCGTCTCAAACTGAAGCACAAATGATTCCTGTAGTCTGCAGCTTTTCTGGAAATCCATTCATACTCCCGCACCATTCGAAGGGTGTTCATCCCGAAGTTCATAGCTAAAGGTCTGTGGAGATTCTATGTATTCTGTTTACCAAAGGAAAGTGAAGAAAGAAAATCAAAATAATGTAGGGAAAGGACTACATAACTCTCATTTTCATCCATGATATTTTCACAGGCTGTTCCTATCTTTAAAAAAAATGTATTGCTCATTTTGGTACAATATTTGTACATTTTTGGTATTTTTCTGCTGGTAAAGAAAAGCAATTTGCAAGTTACTTTTGATTACAAAGGGACGAAAATTCTCCGGATTCTGAAACGTATGACTTCCGATTTCAGTTTTGGTCTTAAAGAAAAAGGATCCATACAACTGTGGACAGCTTACTGTCTGGTCTTCAGTATAATTTATTTTGCATATGGCATATCATGCATCGACTAGCGTATATATGCTACAGGTATGGAATCTTCATCTTCATATATCTTCAGTATATGTTGAACTAAGGGACAATTTGCAGAATATTTTGTGTGTAATAGTAATAAGCAGCAGTATTTTAACATCAACAAGCAGTCACTTCACAGCAGAGATTTGAACAGAAACTATCCTTTTAAATTAGCTGTGAGGCTGTGAAAGTAAAATTCCAAGATTTCAGAGGTTCAAGCTCTCTCCCCCCCCCCCCCCCCAAGCCACTGAAGTTCATTAGGTGACTTTGGTTCAGTCATTGTCTCTCAGTCTGATCAATCTCACAGTTATTGTTGCAGGGGAAAACGAGATAAGTGAATGTTATATACTCTATCCCGGGCATCTGAAGGAAAGTTGGTGCATAAATCTAATGAATAAAATGAAATAAGAGCTCTGATACCTTGCTTATCCCATTCTATGCTTTCCAAAAAGTATTCCATTGTCTAATCTGGGCTGCAAAAGTACGTGTGATTATTGAGAGGTAACTAATAGCTCTTTGCTGTTCTCTAGTGGTTATCTGGATTTTTGTAGCCTAGATTTGATTTCTCCAGTTTCATAAACAATTGCAGTAAAAAAAAATTTTGTTTTTTAAAAAGTATCTACTATGCCCTGTCTTGGATTTCTCTTCCAATGCTTTTCCCACCAAGCAAATAAATTCACATTTATAGTATAAGATAATGTCTGTGTGACAAATAGCCAACACAATCTCTCACAGATATTTTGGTTGCAATCCTCTCACCACTTATTTTGGAATTAAGTGGCTTGAGGATTGCAGTCTTTGTTTTGCATTGTGAGGGAGAAAAACCCAGCTGCAATGTATCCTCCAACACCTTGTATTTTTGTGGTTTCTGTATCTGCTTCCCTGCAAATGTCCAAATTATTTGACAAAAACAGTATTCTCTTTTGGTTGAAAAACATTTGAACTGCACTTGAAATTCTCCAGGTTTGTTGACATTTTGCTCAGACTTATTATCTTTTACTGTCCAGAATGATGCTTGGACGATAACCAGACATAGAGAGATTTATTTCTGTGAAACTGGTTTACCGCTGGCTTCAGCACCTCTCCGGGGTCAGGGGTCAGCAGGGAGAAGAGGGCTGGAGTACTCATTCCTAGAGTAAGGCCTATAATCTGGATTTGTGATCAGCTACTAATTTTTTTTAGTGGAGAGAACCATATTTAAACCCAATCATTGATTGAAAGGTCAAGAACATTATCTTTACCTCATTCATTCTGGCAGGTCACAAAGAGTTGGGTTTTTTTAACCACTTGTTTCTCTGTTTTATGCACCTCATTTTGGGGCTGGGGAAAAGTTTGCATGTGGGCATATTTGGCTACATTTTGACTCGTTTACATGGGAGAAAACATCACAAGGTGATTTCACGCCATTGGGGTTATGTTGAAAATCAGATGGAGTTTTTTCCCCCTGATTCCCCTATACCTCATCTGTTTAATTATTTCTGACATTTGTTTTTAGTTTGTCAAATTGGTGTCATTTTTAGCCTCTCAGTGTGCTGTCTCCTTTTCATTTTAGGTTCCTATTATCCCTAGAATTAAGTAGAAGCTAAATCCGAGCATGAGAACATTAGATTCCCTTATTCTATATTGCCCACCATAGCCATTTTGAGACAAAAGGCATCCTTTCCATTGTAAGTGGGAAAAGAATTAGCAAGGCTTTTTATTCTGCCCTCCTCTAACTACAGTGCCAGCTAGCACAGTTAAGTGAAATGTAGGGGTAGACTGTCTCATGCCAAGTAAGCCTTGGTGCTGCTTATTCTCCCATGCTCTCTTATCCTAGAAGAACAAAGCAGGGCACCAGGGGCTAAAGATATTACCCATACTGCTATTGAGTGGCTCAAGTTCCACAAATCTCTTATTGCTGGGATCCCAAAAACATCAGCCTTCCCAGCAGTCTCTCTCTCTCTCTCTTTCATTTCCCAATTACCATCATTTGTTTTGATATTGTATGTAGATAGTTAGAGGTCAGCTTTCCCCCTCATGCCAGCTTTTGTTCTGGTATTTCAGCTATGTGCTCCAGGCATGGAGCTCCTCATTTTAAAATGGGCACACACTCAAGGGCAACAAAGCATCAAGTCTAAGAAGTCTTCTAGATGACAGTGTGGCTTTTTGGGTTCTTTTGCTTTTGTTTATTTTTTTTTTAATAGCTTGAGATCCCCTTGTTCTCATGACATCATTTACAAAAGAGAGAGATTTTTAACCAAAGGTATCCCAATCCAGGTTTAACAGTGATTGTCAAAATTCTGGGATTCATCCCGCCTCTCACTATGAAAATAGTATTTCTGCTTTTACTTTCTGCTGTTGTGGGCACTAATGTCACGTAAGGAGGGGGATTCTATTGTGAAATATTATGGGGTACTTCCTGTTTTCCTATCACTTTCCAGGGATACTTACTGTCTTCATTTTATACAGGCTTCCTCAGTCGCTTCTCCTTTTCTCTTTCCTGCTACCCTCAACATGTTCAGTATTTGAGAACAATTCAGGATTAACCACAGAGCTAGTCTTGTTCCTCTTGTTCTCTTGGACAGGTCAGCTTCACATATGCTCAGGGGCAATTCAGCAATTGTTTTTCCTCATTATTCCAAAATTATAAATTCCTCATTATTCCACTGAGCAGTGCTTATTGGAGTCATGTTGATCTGCCAAGAAAGCATCTCATGGGGAATTCCTACTGGTAGCCCTCGTTATATTACTAATTTGTATTTCTATCTTTGTCTAGGTTTAGATCATACCTGTATGATGAGCAAGTATTTATTCATCCAGGGATTTGGGTTCTGCTAGCCTAGAGAAAAGAAGGACTATGGGTGACACGATAGCAGTATTCCACTAGTTGAGAGGCTGCTACAAAGAAAAGGGGGTCACCTTATTTTCCAAAGCACCAAAAGGCAGGACAAGAAACAATGGATGGAAACTAGTCAGGGAGAGAAGCAGCCTGGAATTAAGGAGAAACTTACTAATAGTGAGGACAATCAATCAGTGGAACAGCTTGCTTTCAGAAGTTGTGGATGCTTCATCATGGAGGTTTTTAAGAAAGGACTGGACAGCCATGTCTGAAATGTTATAGGGTCTCCTGCTTGAGCACAGGGGTTGAACTAGAAGGCCTCCAAGATCCCTTACAGCTCTGTTCTTATTAATTAATTAATTAATTAATGATTAATTCTGCAACCACTCAGTCTAATAGTTTTACAAGCTTCTCTTTCAGGGTGGTATAGAGCTGCTCATTCTGCTGGGTGGGATCTTGGACTTAGCCTGACTGGGTGGCTCAGTGGCTAAGACCATGAGCTTGTCGATCAGAAAGGTTGGCAGTTCAGCAGTTCGAATCCCTAGTACAGGTCGTCTGCGTGAGCAGGGGGTTGGACTAGATGACCTCCAAGGTCCCTTCCACCTCTGTTACTATTTCAACTGTTACAACGTCTGCCTCAAAATCCTACCAGATGGAAGTATTGGTGCTAAATCTGGCTTTCAAACACTGCCTAGAACAGGGGCATAGCTGGCTGGAGAATTCTGGGAGTTGAAGTCCACAAGTCTTAAAGCTGTCAAGTTTGAAGACCTCTGGCCTAGAAGTTCACCTAAATGCTGAATGTTGTTTTGTTGGTCTTCACAGGTAGTCCAAATAGACCAGAAGCTGAATCACATCACAGATTTGCTGCACCGCCTGCTTTCCAGCCAGCAAGGAAACCAAGGCAGTACCAAAGCATCTCCCAAGAATGATGTCAGCTCTAGCCTACTTTCCAGCAGCGCTCTCCCAACCTATGAACAACTAACAGTTCCAAAGCAAGACGATGGTTCCTGATGCCTCAGAGATTTGTTTCCTTTCATGAAACTGACACTCAATATTATGAATCTTGATGGGGGTTGGGGATAAATTTAAGCTCAGAATCAGCCATACAAGCCTGACACATTACTTTTAAGATAATTTTACTATCTTCTTATCTGTTGTTCCAAAGAGAATAATTCAGACAACTACCAAACCTTAAAACCCACACTGTGTTGTTATTCTTTATTCATGTGATGCATTCAGGAGCTCTAATTTCTTTTTGTGTGTGGGTGTGTGTGTAAATAATTCTGCTACAATTGATCGCAATATTAAAAGAGTACAGGTAGTCCTTGGCTTATGACCACAATTGGGACCAGAATTTCTGTTACTTAGGAAGATAGTGAATCATGCCTGATTTTACAACATGTTGCCATAGTTGTTAAGTGAATAGTCATTGCAGTTCTTAAGGGAATCCTACAATCATTAAGCACATCCAGTTCAGTGGTGGGTTGCCTCCGGTTCGGACCAGTTCGCAAGAACCGGTAGTAAAACTGGCAGGAGGCTCCGCTCACTGACCCGGACGTCATCATAGGTGATCTGCACATGCACAGAAGCTTTTTATACGGACCGGTAGTAAAGGTAAGTAGAACCCATCCCTGATCCAGTTCCCCCATTGAATTTGCTTGTCAGAAGCCGGCTGGAAAAGTCACAAATGTGATCCCATGATCCTAGGAAATACATGCTGGCTGCTAAGTGCCTGAATCTTGGATCACATGACTATGGGGATGGTGCAATGGCAATAAGCGCAAAACTGGTCATAAGTCACTTTTTTCAGTGCTGCTGTTAGTTCAAGCAGACACTAAACAAATGGTTGTAAGCCAAGGACTACCTGTAATTGGTCCTGATATTAGCAAAAAGACAATCAGTGTATGTGCCCAGGATATTGTGCAACTGCTGCTGCTTCAAATATCATTCTGAAGTCATGCACAATCATACACAATAGAAGTAGTTTGAAAATTCCACAACTTTGCTTGGCTAATTGCATCCTATGGCCCTTCAGTAAGAATAATACTTGAACTTAGTTAGATCTGAATTCTATTTATGACTCTGCTGATAGTGATATAGTTTTGCGCACTAGATTCCAAAAGAGAATGTACATAAATTGCCATTCTGCGGACTGGCAAGAGTATACACTGAATAATTTTCCTCCCACACTCCAGTTTCCTTGTTTATTCTACACAATATTGTGAAACCTACCACATTTAAAACAAAAATCTGCCTCTCTTCAAGGAAGAATCAGTGCTTTAATCAAAAACTGTATTGTTTGTAAAGAAAGATTTCTTTTGTATAATATTGTAATGGAATTGGGACATTGAAATATTGAATAGGAACTTTTTAAAAATAGCAATTATATTACTGCCAAATAATTTATATTCTGTAGTATTTATTACTATCCTGGGTATATTTGTCAGAAAGAGCTTTCAAAGCACACAGCTTTGTGTATTGAAGTAGATTTAGTTTATTTCTCAGTGTACAGCAATAAGGTCTAGAATAACTGGATCTTGTTGATTAGGAGTTTGAATGTGATGCTTTGGGGAAACAGCAGCTTTGAACTTTATTTGAAAATGTACTGCCAAGTCAGATACACATTCGTTTCTTTCTTTTCCTGGCACACTAATACATAATGTCCAACAGTAATTTGTGAATATTGTTCATGCTAAGATATACAAGCTCTTGAGTTTGTTTGGTTATTGCAGAGAAGTTCTACTTGCTGAATGTGGAAATGGCTCTGCGCTCATCTGCTGGGGGGTTCTTTCTTTATATCCAAGCTGTTACAGAAATGGAAAGCAGGCATATCTTATGTTTCTGCAAATCCTGTTCTGTTAATACAATTGGCTCTTTTGTGGGGGGGGGGACCCCATATCCAGGATGACAACAAGAGCTATATCCATGTTCTTATGCAGAGCAGATGCTGGAATTTAGCTCTCTGGAAATCTCATTTGATATTTATTTTCTGTTTAAATCAGGGTTCTAGCTCCTTTGGGAAAGGATATTTAAATTGTATGGTCAGGTAGCATCAGAATCATAGATGGGATGTTCATATTGCCTCTCTTCATCTCGAGCATAAATTGGTTCTCATACTCAGCTATGAATCACCAAGCACTAACTAATCTTTCTATGAGCATACATATTCCTATTGGGAATCAAAAACCAAAGAAAACTGGAGAAAGAGAGGGCTTTCTAAACCCAGGGGAGGGGAACAATCAGAACTGTATGAACTGACGCCGAGTTCGACAAATATCTATATCTAAGTTTCCTTTGTAGTTTCCATGAGGAAAATGTTTCTCTGTCACATAAAGGTAGTCTCAAATACACAGCTTCATGTTTTAGGACAGTGATGGCTAACATTTTTACCGTCGCGTGCCAAAAGGGGGAGCATGGGGGGAGCGCACACGTGTGCCCACACCCATAATTCAATGCACCCCTGGAAGTGGTGGGTTGCTCCCGGTTTGGCCCGGTTCTACCAAATAGGAGTAACTTTAGGAAGTAGTTTTCCGAACCGGTAGTAATGGCAGCCAGGCCACGCCCCCAAACCGGTTCCCCGGTCGCTGCTTGCTCACCCACCTGAAGCTGACCGGAGCAAAGAAGCCTCTCAGCCGCCTGGCCACAGGGTGCCGAAAAGTCTTTCAGCTGGTGAGAAGAAAGCTGCGCATGCGCGAAGATGGCGGCAGCAACCGGAGGTCTTTCCGGAGCTGTGCGCCAGTTGCTGGGTGGAAAAGAAGTCTCTCGGCTTCCAAATTCAGCAGCAGGCTCAGTCCCTTCGCACAGGCTCACTTTTCTCCGCGCCCAAGAAAGATCAAAAGGCACAGAGCAGCCTTTAATTACAAAGTCGCCTAGACAAGGTAAAAGAAAACAAACCACAAAGCTGCCAGCATTGCAGCTGCCCCCCCCTCCCCACAGCTCGGAGCTCAAAGCAGAAGAAGTCCTCGGCTGTTGTGAAGAAGCGGCAGCTCTGAGTGCACTATGCCCGCTTCTTTCTCTTTGAGAGCTGCTTTGCAAACAAGTTGCAAAGCGGCTCTCAAAGAGAACGAAGCGGGCGTGGCACACCCAGAGCTGCTACTTCTTTGCAACAGCCGAGGACAGAAGAGTTCACTCAGGAGCGACACCAGAAAGGAAGGCGGCTGGGTCGGAGGGAGGTGTAGCCCGAGCTCTCTGGAACGGGTAAACAAGTGTGGGGAGGCGAAGGAGAGCAGACTTGGCCCTCCACATGTTGCATCCCCCTCTCAGCCTTCACTCGCGCCTCCGTGCCACCAGCATCTCCCAAAGCCGCTGCCATTGGAACCGCGATATTTATTTATTTATTTATTTATTAATCAAATTTCTATACCGCCCTACTCCCGAAGGACTCAGGGCAGTGAACAGCCAAGATAAAATACAGATAATACAAATATTAAAAAATCCCTTAAAATTATTAAATATTTCGGCCGAAACACAGATTAAAACACCCAATTTATAAAATCACGAATTAAAAATTTAAATTTAAAAATTTAAAAGATGGGAGTTAGGCAAGGCCAGCTTGCTGAAATAGAAAAGTTTTGAGAGCACGGCGAAACGTGCGCAGGTCCGGGATCTTCCGTATCTCTGGGGGGAGCTCGTTCCAGATGGTAGGTGCCCCCACAGAGAAGGCTCTCCCCCTGGGGGCCGCCAGTCGACACTGTTTGGCCGACGGCACCCTGAGGAGCCCCTCTCTATGGGAGCGTACTGGTCGGTGAGAGGCTATTGGTAGCAGAAGGCGGTCTCGTAGATACCCCGGTCCGATGCCATGGAGCGCTCTAAAGGTGGTAACCAAAACCTTGAAGCGCACCCGGAAGACCACCAGGAGCCAGTGCAGCTCGCGCAGGAGGGGGGTCACATGGGAGCGCCACGTCGCTCCCATAACCACCCGCGCGGCCGCATTCTGGACCAGCTGGAGCCTCCGGGTGCTCCTCAAGGGGAGCCCCATGTAGAGAACATTGCAGTAGTCCAAGCGGGAAGTAACGAGAGCATGAGTGACCGTATTTAACGAGTCCCGATCCAGAAAGGGATGCAACTGGCGAATCAGGCGGACCTGATAAAAAGTCCCCCTGGCCACGGCCGTCATGTGCTCTTCTAAAGACAGCCGTGAGTCCAGGAGGACACCCAAGTTGCGAACCCTCTCCATGGGGGCGATAGGGACTGGGGCAGCCCAGTAGCAGCCAGGAGCCATGCTTTCCTCTAAGCGCTGTGAGCGGCAAAGGGAAACAGGTGCTTCTCTCTGTAAAACTTGGAGGAAAGCGCAGCTCATGGCTGCTAAAGCATCTCAATCAGCAACAGCCCAGACGAGCTGAGGAACTGCGGGGAGCCTCCCATGTGTTGCATCCCCCTCCCAGCCTTTGCCTGCGCCTCCATGCCGCCAGCATCTCCTGAAGCCGCCTCTGTTGGAGCCGCAACAGGGATGGGGGCAGCCCGGTAAGCTGGGTGCCTGAAAATGGTGCGGAGGTACGGGGGGAAGGCTGGGAGGAGGTGCAACACGCGGGAGGCTCCCCGCAGTTCCTTGGCTCGTCTGGGCTACAGCTGAGTCCACTGCCCTGAGCTGGCGGAGTGGGTTGCTCCGGCTGCAACCACAAGAAAGGCCCGTCAGAGGTGAGAAGGGGCGCTTTTCAGCCAGGAAGGGCAACAGAGAGAAAGCCGAGACGACCACCGCCACCCCATGCATCCCCATGCGTGGATATGGGGCCGGAGTGTCAAAAAAAGTTTCAAAAAGTCCCAAAAACTTTAGCCACCTTTTCGGTGGGCGTGGCTTGTGGGGGTCATGTAACTGAGTGCGTGAGTGACATGTTGGCCACGCACAATCAGTCACGTCCCCCACCTAGCCACACCCACCGAACCAGTAGTAAAAAATTACAGAACACACCCCTGCCCCCCGGGCCCCGCACATGTGCGCACAACCCCCCTGCGCTCCCTCCGCTTTTGGCACGCAACAGCAAAAAGGTTACTGGTGGGCCTGGTAGGCCTGTTTTTCGCCCTTCCCAGGCTCCAGAGGCTTTCTTGGAGCCTGGGACGGGCGAAAATGCCTTCCCCATCCCCTCGGAGGCCCTCCAGAGGCTGGAAACAGCTCGTTTCCCGACTTCCAGTGGGCCCAGAAGGCCTGAAAATCAGCTGGCGCTGAGCTAGGGCAACGCTTGCATGCCCACAGATATTGCTCCGTGTGCCACCTGTGGCACGTGTGCCATAGGTTCTCCATCACGGTTTTAGGGCATAGGAATTTGAAACTATACTATTCAGAAGCTACAAGTGTGAAAAAGTTGGGATGTCAACTATATCTAGGCTGCAAAAATATAGTTGGCAACAGCAATACAAAGACAGAAACAATTCTAACACTTTAAAGCCTCTAATCTTCTGTTTGGAAGTTTGTGGCCCAGATATTGTCACTATAGATGCATCTTCTGTTCCATTGATGATCCTTCATCTATCAGCCTTCCCTTAATGACAGATGAGCATCTTAATGGCGGAAATCCTCTTCTGACGTGATACTTCTGTGCATTACTGAGTATTACTCAAGAATAAGCATAGAAAGTGAGGTATAGAAGTCTTTAAAGCCTGTCTGTTTGGTAACATTACCATTTATTCATGAAAATTAAATCTAAATTGCTATAAGGAGATAAAAGTCATAAAATTCTATGTCCAAGGACAGCATGGAAACCAGAATAGTATTAAATAGTAAGTGCACAATCATAACTACAGAGCTGCGGATACTGTATCTAAATGCTTTCCAAAATGTAGTTCTTTAAAAGCCAGATATTATGACTTTTATTTGGAGATGTTAGCGTTCTTCTGATTCACATTGATGTCACAGAGAATATATTTGTATTCTTTTTCTATCTGTGCCCATAATACTTCCATTGTTTCCTAAAGACAGGTTAATATAGGACATTTTAATGATGATATATTATTTAATGCTAATTGGAAATTTTTAGATCGAGTGTATAAGATTTAGAAGGAACTCTTTTGCATAGAATAACACTTTGAACTTTTCCCTTATATGGAAATGAATATTGAAGGATGCAAGTAAAGACGGAACTCATCCAAATCCCTTTTGCAATAACTCCTGTCCTAAAAATTAGAAAACAAAATACTTAGAATTGTAGATAATTTAAACCGTTTAAGAATTGATGATCTGATAGCAGTTATATTTAAGATATTGGAGGGAGGAGGAAACGGCAGGTAATTATGAAGTACTTTCTCAGGTTTTTTTGTTCCATATAATTTTACACAACTAAACACTAGAGCAGTGTTGGCAAACCTTTTCAGTACCGAGTGACGAAACAGGAGCGAACGCGCAAGGAGAAGCACCGGAAACCAGAAGAGCAGTTCCCCAGCGCGCGTGTGTGCGCCGGGAAGCTGAGCTTCTGGTTTCTGGCATGCACATGTGTGCCAGTCACCTGGTATTCCGGTTTTTGGCATGCATGCACATGCAAAGACCAGCTGGCCAGCATGCATGCGTGCACCGGAAACCGGAAGCGCAGCTTCCTGGCGTGCATACGCACAGCGGGGAGCTGCTCTTCCAGTTTCCAGTGCTCCCGCGCGTGCAAAGACGAGCCAGAAGAGCAACAGACAACCGCTGGCGTGCCCAGAGAGATGGCTCTGTGTGCCACTTCTGGCACGTGTGCCATAGGTTCGCCATCACAGCTCTAGAGATTCAAAAAGGGGACACCATAACTGGATAATATCATTGTACTTAACCAAAAGCCCAAACTGTAGCAGATTTGACCATCTGTTCCTGCTGCATTTCAATATAAATTCATAGAAATAGCCAGGTCACCACTGCAAATGTTTGTTACCAAAGCAACCTCTGGTTTTATGAATTAGCGTGGAACACATTCAGGATCAGAGGATGACTTTTTATTATTTACATGTCTCACTGAAATGAAGAAACTGTTTATGATGTTTCTGCAATAGTCTGTCTGATGCTGCAGCTGGTTTCCAACTGCGACCATGCAGATGCTACTGAGAATTCCACAAGGAGACCCATTCTTTGTCATTCACCCAAATTAAACTTTCAACCATCCAGAAAACTATATTTATTTCTTCTTATTTGTCTAATTGCCTTTTAAAACATACAAAATACGAGCCATCATCACTGCTGGGGGCAAAACGTCCAGAATTCATAATTATGGAATCCATGGCCAACAAAAGAATTTGACCTACTAAAAAGAAACCTGTCAACCCCAATTGTGCTCTTGAGAAAATCTGGTCTATTTCAGTGGGACCTGTGCAGAAGAATTCCCAGGTTGCGTCTTATGAACCAAATCTATTGGGCTCTGGTATCCCAAACAGTTCCCCCAAATCCACTGCCTGTGGCAATCCAGTCACTTTGCTTCACCTGTGCACCAAAATATACACCTCATAGCTTTTTGTGCTTGATTGTACACATTTCATTATCTTCTTCCAGATAGCAAAGCATCTTTTAATCCTCCTTACATGGAATTTTAAATATATTAGAATTTATCTATTCTTCCAGTGTACAGTACATACATTTCGAAGGATATACAAACTTTTTAAAAATGTAAATGGGAATTATTTCAGGGCATTATATTTTATAAGAAATCAAAGGAGAACTGTTAAGATTTTCAGTCTATTTTTTTTAAAAAAAATAATGTTCACTATTGTAATTTTAAGCTGTTAATTTCTTAATAAAATATAGGACAGGAATTGTACTTTCATTTAGTCTGAATTTCATGCAAGAGTAAGTGAGTTTTTAAAATGGGATTAACTATCACATAAATGCAATTGCAATATAAATAACAGAACAAAGATTTATTCTATGTGTATTTGAAGTGCTGCAATAAACCAGCAACACAGCATGTTGCAATCCAATATACGATTCATATACTTTATTAGAGATGTCACTCAAAAGTATCTGCATCTTGCACCTTTTATCCTATTGACCCACTGGGGACGTTAGATATAGACATAGCAACCAAGAGCCTTGTTCTATTCTTGATATCTACTTTGTTCCAGTGAATAGATTTTTAGGCACTCCTTTCAGCCTGCTTCCTGTAGGAACGATAAAGAACATCTTGGAGTTGGAGTTTCTGTTCCATCAATGAACAGTCTTCCATTTGCAGGAAGAAATTTTATCCTATGAAGAATTTTGCAAATAAAAAAGCAATAAGGTAGTTTCTGTCACTCCCCCTGCCCCCAGCAAATCCAGCTCTACCTCCCACACTATGCCAAAAGATTTGTGCACACAACATGAACTAAACATAATTTACAGAATTAATTTTATGGAACCACGAACTAGCCAAGCAGATTTTAATTTAGTGTGGTATGCAGACTTATGCAGAACTCTGCCCTTCACCCTTCCTCTGGGGCAGATTTTAGATAACACAAGGATTTCAGAAAGTAGGGGCTGAAAAATCCCCTTCTCCCTCACTTACCTTCAGCCAGCAGAAATATCCTCATTGGTTATGTTCTGTATGTACAAAACAGTGACGGTTCTAGTTTAGCCACATACAAGATAAAATATAAAGACAAAAACAAAAAGAGCTAAGATCAGTCTGTAAGTTTAGTAACTACTTCTGCTATTGTATGTATGGTGTAAAGCTTAACATAGTGAAAAGAGGTTATTAGTTCCTTTGAGTTTTATGGAATGTTTATAAATATTCTAGCTACATTTTTAAAAACTTCCAATACATAAAACCTGGGGCAATACAGAATGGTTTCCTATTGAAGGAAGAGAAAGAAAATGAGGCTTAAATATAAGAAATCAAGCAAGAGAACTGGGCACAGAGTTATAAAAATAACCACACATTTTTTATGGATCTCTACTGTATTTGTATCCCTATATTTTTCAATCTTTCAGGTATGGCCTAAAGGGAAGGAGTGCTGGTTTGATATTTGGCATTTGCTCTCTACTATATGAAGAGCATGGAAAAAATGAATAACTAAAGTCAGCCCTGAAATCTTGGAGAGTTAGTAGATTTTCCTCCTATTGGTGTTAGAGTTGCTCTGGCGAAATGCCCAAGGATTTAGCCGGAGCTAATCCAACCTTGGCTTTCCAAGCAGGCTCCCTCAGAACAAAGCAAACAAAGCTTCTCTAGCCCCCTTGGTTGGGTTTCTGCTAAATCACTTGGCCAGGTGCAGCATTATTCAGATCAGCAGTCCTCCACAGTCTTTGCTGAGAAGCCAATGGTTTAGAAGCAAGCAGCATCTTTTTCGAGTGCCATAGTGCGTTCTATGGGAGTGCAACTGGTGCTTTTGCCTTTCAATTTGGCTTGAGAGCCATTGTCGAAAACTGTTGTTTTTCTTCTGCAACCAACCATCTGGCAGACAGTAATGATAAAACACCTGTTTCCAGTAGCTTATACCTTAACATTGCCCTCAATATTATTTTTTCTAAATCTTTGTTGTTTTTTTAAGGGCAATAAAGTTCCCATCTATTTATATTTTTAAAAAGCTGATTAATCAACCTGATTTAGATAGTTTGATTTGATATTTGTAAACTACAATTGGAATCTTTATGACATTTAATTTGAACCAGAGATGACTGAATGATATGGGCTCCAGACAAAGCCAACATTCATATGCAAGGAAATAACTGTTCACTGTAGCACAGCTCTGCACAGTTTGAGATTCAGTCCTATATTCACTTATCTGGATTTAGTTAATTGAATTAGAATAGAAGGAACTGTCAATAAAGATAGGAATGACCCAATGGATGGATCAATAGTGGATAGGGCAATGTTCCTGGAGGTTTAAGAGAAGTAGTAGCAGAACTTAAGATGCCACCCTTTTCAGCAGACTTGTTATATTAAAGTTTTATATTTTAATTAATGTAATTAATCACTTAGTTGTAATTAGGACTATTAAAATTAATTGATGTATTTAACTTTAATTACATTCCATATATGTAATTATATTTCTTAGGCAGTAGAAACCTATTTTGCCTATTAAATTCTGTCAAGTGTGATACACATACACAGAAAACAGGTGGTTTATGTAGTTATATGATGCACGTTTCTCATATTTACTTAGCATTCTTAGCTAGCCTTTTCTGATTTCTACATTGAAAAATATGCTTTGTACATTGCAAAGCAGCTTTCTATACTTCATACGATCAAAAAGAAAATAAAAATATATCCAGCTTCCAGACAAACTTGCATATTTAAATTTTCACTCTGCCTTTGGGTGAAATTTTAAAATATGGACAAGTTTTTATGGAGCTACTTATGGCCTAATTCTCCAAATTATATATATATATATATTTTTGCCTTAGGGGCCACTCTGATGTCTTGGAACTTATCAAGAGGGCTACAGGGCTCAGCAGCTTTCCCCTTCAGAACCCAGAAGGGTGCCAACCGCACAGAGTGGTTTTTGAGATCAGACCCAAGTGTCTACCTCATCAGTTGGCTCTTTTTTAATGCTAGCAATCCCAAACTTCTAAAGCACCCCCCCACAAAGGGGGACTGAACAAAAAGGTGGGGTGGAAGAGACTGCATGTGAAAGTTCATTCCAACCCATTCAACTCTCTGCCATACTTCTACCTGGGAACACATTTACACAGCCTTTTGACTAATCTAAATAAATTAGCTCCCACTGAGAACAATAGGATGAAAGTGTTTTCGCTCATTAAAACCAAACCAACAGGCATCTCCTGCCTTTCACTCTCAACTGGCAGGCCTTTAGGTCTTATCAGGGTGCTCCAAGGGCAGAGCACTCTGACCAATAACAAAGGTCTCTTCAATTGATTTTTATCATGTTTATCCTAGTTTGTGAACGGTTGTGTTTTAATGTCTTATGTGTCTAATGTGTTTTAATTAATTATCTTGTGCAGTGTTTTGTAACAGAGATTCCCCAAAACTCTCTTGGTCCTGATCGGAGTAGCTAGTAGTCTTCACTATACAATGGTTCACTCAAATATTTAATTCACAAAACTAAAGTAATAACATTGTCTCACAGATGTTAAATGAACTAAAAAGGAACTTAAAAACAAGGGGCCAAGTCTTTTAACACGAGTTGTCCAGCTGGGCTATAAGCCATCAAATTTTATATCTATCTCACTTGTTTTATTGTCAAGTTGTTTTCTACAAGTCCAAAAGCTATGATCCTGCTTCCTTAAAACAAAAAGCTTATATTGAAAAATATATACAGACTGCTACAAAAGCAGGTGTGAAAAGCAGTTTTGTTGAGTAAAAGTGATCAAACCTTGCCAAGATTTTTTTTTTATAACTATCATTTGTCAATACTTTGGTTCCAATTAAAATTTGCCTAAAGTAGATGTACACCTTTGGCCCATGTAAGGGCTAGCGTATTTCCTTGCTTCAGATTACAATGTAGTGACTGAAAAGCAAAATTCAAAGTCATATTTTTCTCTCACAAGAGTCTATGGAGATTCTCAGTCATCCAGGTCATGGTTGTCCCAAAGGTGCTTTTTCAAGAGGCAACGGGACTTTCTGGTTTTTCTTTGAAGATGTTTCGCTTCTCATCCAAGAAGCTTCTTCAGCTCTCTCACAACAGCTTCTGCAGCCACAGGCACCAGCAGATGTGGAAGTGATGTACAACATTTATAACTCACCTGCTGATAGTCAAGTGTGAATTCTTGTGAACTGCTTGACAAACATTTGCAGGGCAACAGCTAGCCACTCTTTCCCCATTACTCATGATTTCACAGCTCCAAACTTGGAATTTGTTGCTTTCTTTTCCATTTAAGGAAACTGAGGAGACTTGATCAATACCTCAGTAAACTCAGTTGCTCCCCCTTCTCCTGCAAGCCAGCAGAATTTTGTCCTTATTGGTTTATTTCACTGTACAGCAGTGAAATCCAGCAGGTTCTAACAGGTTCTGGAGAACCAGTAGCGGAAATTTTGCACAGTTGGAGAATCGGTAGCAGAAATTTTGAGTAGTTCAGAGAACTGGCAAATACCACCTCTGGCTGACCCCAGAGTGGGGTGGGAATGGAGATTTTGCAATATCTTTCTCCCAAGAGTGGGGATGGAATGGGGATTTTGCAGTATCCTTCCCCTGGATGGGATGGGAATGGAGATTTTGCAGTATCCTTCCTTTGCCACCCCCACCAAGCCACACCACATCCACCAAGCCATGCCCAAAGAACTGGTAATAAAAAAAATTGGATTTCCACCACTGCTGTACAGGTCAGATAAGCAAGAGGCTTACCTTTTGGCATTTCTTCTTCATGAGATATCCAAATTGATAATTTAATGTCTTACTGGCTTTTCTCCCCCACCCCCACCCCGCCCCTACCTCTCTCTTTTTTTTGCTGTTCTTCTTTCTGACATCTCTAAAACTCCCCAACGGCCTAAGGAGAAGAAATGGCTCTTCCCATTGTTCGATATGTAAATAGCTTTAAAAAGGGAACATTTCTGGAGAGAAGGGAGAGAGAAATCGGATGTTTCCGTACCATCTGGTGAAAATACCTTTGTGGTTTTGAATGGTAAATGACCAAGGAGGTCTCAGAGGCATTTTATTTCTAAATGATAGAGCTAGGAAGATAAACACTTGCTAATTGTTCCTGCCCTGAAATGCAATTCACCTGGGCCAAGTCCCGGTGGTAAAATTAGCAAAATGAAAATGGGATATTATAACCAAAGAGGCCACTTTTGTTTTTAAAGTCCCTTTCTGGCCACAAGGAAAAAAAAAAGTGGAACAGATGGTGCCCTGCTCTCCCTTAGCACACATTCCTTTACTCTGTCTTCTCAGATAACTGAGTTATACAGCACACGACCATCTGGTCTATGACACATCTTGTGTCCCACAAACAATAGCCTGGCAAGCCTCTTCAGGGGCGGGGTTAGTTTCTACGGTAACAGCAGCATGTGCAGCTCTCGGCCTCATTCCGAGTCAGGCCTCCTTACTTGCCTCTATTCTTTGCCCCACTATTGTTGTGCCCTGAGCTTTTGCTGCTTGGTTATTCCAAAATTGGCCATATCTGGGAGCATTTGGTTCCCCCCCCCTCCAGCAGCCATTGTCTCACCGCATTTGGTTCTATTATTGATGTTTTCAATGTCCAATGGCTGACCGAAGCATCTGCTGGAGAATGATAAGGCCAGAGCCTTAGGAGAAACAGTTTCACAACTCGCCCCTCCTTGACAAAGCTTTGAATTGATGGAGATGGTGGCTCGACAAGCCTTTCCAATTGGCAGCATTGCAACGCAGCCCTTGGCCGGGGGGGGGAGAGGGGGAGTGTTAGGGGCGGAGAGAGGAAGAGGAGTTGAGTGGCAGCTGATTTATGTGTTTACTCCGTCTTAGGGGAATCTCAGCAGCCAAACGGAAGGAAAGCAACCCTCGTAGCAGCCGTCTGAATGAGCATCGCTCTGCGCTTTTGCAAGACCGATGCAGAGATGCAGGCAGCAGGATCCAAGTTTGTATGGGGGACAAAGAACGGATGGCCTGTTTCCTAAGATTCACATTGTCTGGGAAATTGGAATGATTGAAATTCAGCCCTGCAATCTCCTAGGACCATCCCAAGCTTTAGGAGCAAGACGTCATCAAAGGCTTTCTATGTCCTATCAGATGCAGGGGAGACTTCTCAAAGTCTCCCGTTATCTTTAGATCAATAGAAACACTCCCAGGCATGTGGTCCTCTGAAAGCATCCTTCATTCTTCTGTTCTTGCTGCAGCAGCTGTTCCCTTCACTCCCTTCCAGCCTCTTGTCAAATCTGCACCAGCCTCATGCCTGATTTAGTCACACCCCTGACCTCCACTCTGTCTGTCTCCCTGGCCTTTCAAGAGGGCACACTTCCTCTTTGCTAGCCTGATCCCAGGTAAGGTTGAAACTGTGGAAAGGGTCAGCTTATCCACAAGCATATAAAGTGTCTGTGCAGCTTGTGCTGGATCCATTGATTAAATCACAGTGGAAGGAAGTCTAGTTTTGTGTGTACCACCCAAGACCAGGGGTGGGCTTCAGATCCTTTAGCAACGGGTTTGCTGCCCTGTTGCTGGGTGGGCGTGGCCATGGTGGGCGTGGCCTAGTTAGCCACTTGCACCATGGCGGGGGGGGTTCACCCTCCCCAGGCTCCAGAAGCTTTCCTCAAGCCTCCGGGAGGGCGAAAACTGCTTCCCCTGGGGTCCGGAGGCTCTCCGGAGACTGGAAACAAGCCCATTTCTGGACTTGTGGAACTTCTGGGAGGCCCATTTTTCGCCATCCCCAGGCTCCGGAGGCTTTCCTCAAGCCTCTGAGAGGACGAAAACAGTTTCCCCCTGGGTCCGAAGGCCCTCCAGAGGCCGGAAACAGGCCCGTTTCTGGACTTCCGGAACCTCCAGTAGGCCCGTTTTTTGCCCTCTGTGTGGCCCCTGCACTTACCTGGAATGATGAACGGGCTGCATGGAAACTCCTGGGAGGGGAGGGGTGGGAGTGGCCAGACAGGGGTGGCATTTGAGGGTACACCGAACCCCTGCGATCCTTGGCCCAAACCCTGTCGAACCCCCAGGAGTCCCCTGCCCAAGACTGATGGAAATTTAGATTACTGCAGGAGATGCCTGTCCACTCTCGCCACCATTTTGTGAACATGTACACGCACACCCTTTTCTCAATAATTGGCTGCACATCTTCTCATCTGCCATTCCTGTCCCAATATCCCTGCTGCACACCTGCAGATCTTTTCAGAGTTGTCCCAACCACTACATCAGCTCTTCCATCAGTCCACTCACACACACACACATCTTCCCAATATGATTGATGAACACACACGCACATCTTTCCAATGTGATTGTCCATTCAATATGATCTTTTTTCTAAAAATTTCATATCCTAAAACACAGAATCACCTCACAATTTGGAAACTCTTGCTCTATGAGAATTGTTACATACATTCCTTAAGTAAAAACAAGATATAAATCTACAAATAAATAATATAAATAAAGTTTCAGATACAGTTAGTAAAAAAAAAAATCCCAAAAAGTTATTTAATAAAAAACATGACCGGCATTATTCTCCTTCTCAACAGCAAGCACAGGGTTAATTTCAGTATTATAAACACAGTTAACTCCGTCTTCCTGCAAAGAGAAATTTCCCAATTTGACTTCTTGCCAGAAAAAAAAAAAGAAAACCTTTTCAGCTATGGGGCAGAGCTACAGCCATTGTGTCTGAATGCTAGAAATGCTGCTTTGAGCCTGGCAGGACATATTGCTGAAAGTTTGCTAAGTTAGAGCTATCCAAAATGACAATAGTGAAAAGAAGTACAGAACTATTTAAACTGAAGTTGTAGCCAGTAGAGGTTTAATACATCTGAACCTAGGACTTATTTGGTTTTTAAAAATTATATTCTTCCTAATGCACCTAGAGTTTTAAAAGTTGCAATTAACAACAGGGCTTGCTCACACATTTACACACTACTCAAAAGACCAGAAGGCGGAGGAAGGCAAAAGGGACAGTCAGAATGAAAAGAAGTGAAGTAGCATTTTATTTTACTACTGAGTTCTGTTTTCATGTAGACTTCTATATGCAAGTCATTGCTGGTAACAATTTTAATCTATTAAAGACAATATATGACCAAAAAAGTTCATATGGCCAAAAAGCAAAATGCATTAGCTTAAGCCTGTGGAAATTTCTTCCAAAATGGCCCCATCCCTGGTGGTTGTTGTTTTTTGTCTATGACAAGAAATTCAATGATATGACTCCCAGAGCTAATGGTTTCTTGAGGTTCCTTAAAAATTAATAAATGAATTGTAATATAGACTATCACGATCCACATCCAGGATAATGCATGGAATAATATTTTGGAACAGGTGTGTGGGAGTGCATGCAATCTTTATAAACACTATTTACCAATTATATATCCAATAATAAAATTGAAGCATAATAACGCACAGGAAATGTGACAGCACCATGTTAAATTACTATTTATTAATTACTTCTTTAGTACAGTACTTGTTTTCCTATATCAATGAGAATGTAGAATAGAATAGAATAGAATAGAATAGAATAGAATAGAATTTTTTATTGGCCAAGTGTGATTGGACACACAAGGAATTTGTCTTGGTGCATATGCTCTCAGTGTACATAAAAGATACGTTCATCAAGAATCATAAGGTACAACACTTAATGATAGTCATAGGGTAATACAGTCATTTGGTGAAGTATCATCTTCAAAATTTAATCCATTAATTAAGACACTACAACATACTTCTTTGGATTTGCTACAATATGCAAACACAGAAATATCTCTGGAAATCCACAGAAGAAAGTGTCTAAATTATTATTTTTTCAATAATTCAATTCATAATTTATTTAATAACAAATTACTGTAATTTTTCATTTCTCAAATTTTGGGTAATATTCACATGTAGTACAGGCTCCACGAAAAAAAGGAGGGGGATACAAAAAATCAATCTTGCAACCTTGCAATTGTGGATGCCACAATTGTATGACACACAGCCACAGACACACACAGTGCAGGTGCCTCTGGCATGCAGGTTAGGCTAGAAAGTTAGAAAAGCAAGCAGGACAAAGCAGTAACTGTCCTCTCATGCAGACAAGATCAAGAAAAAGACTCCATAGGAAAAGTAGAACTATATGGTGTTTTTATTATATTAACTAAACAACCCATGCCCTATTGGGACATCATTACAGAGAGAAACAGAATGATCATGAATGAGCAAAAAAACAGTGAGAGCAGGAGTGATTTCTGACTTCCTACTGACTTCTCCATTGAGTTTCCTTGTGAGAAACAGGCAGGAAGCATTGAAAATCTCCCTTCCCTTCCCAGCAGGCAGGGAAGTGGCCACTGCTAGGTGGGTGAGGAAATATGGGATTGTGAGACTGACTGGGAAACTGTAAAGAAATACTGAATATGAAGATGAGATTACCATAGCAACAGCCAAATAGTGCAGCAACAGCTAGTAGCACTGAAGAAGCCACAACTTCCCCAAATTTAATGGAGTCATGGGTCCCAGATTTTGGACACATTCTGTAAGTTAGCCCATTTGAGGTATCTTGGTTCAATAATTGCTGCCTTGTGGTGCACCATTTTGCCCAATTAAAGGTCATGAGAGCAAGAGTTTTTGTAATATATAAATTATATACAGAATTTACCTACATTCCCTCTTATATCCAGCAAATCAGGGAGTACCTGCACAAAACTCTTCTAAATACTATCTTGCTTCCCAGGATTTAAGGTATGTTGTAGCCCTCTTTGTGTAGATAATAATACTGCCTATTTCCTCAAAATTATCTTGCTAACTCTCTAGAGCAGGACTGTCAAACTCCCGGCCTATGGGCTAGATGCGTCACGTGCTGGTCACGCCCATGCCCAGTTTAGCGAAAGGGAGGAAAGTCCCGATACATCACATGATGCTGCTGTGACGGCATGAGTTTGACACCCCTGATCTAGAGCAACCCACTGTATTGTTAGCAAAAAAAAAAAAAAAAATGTATGGACAAGCTTGAATTTGAGGAGACTTTGCATTTTACTATAAATTTGAGAGCTCTCTAGAAACTGCATTAAATCTTTTAGGATTTACATGTAGCCCTAAGATCATGCACTACTGGACTAGACTATTTTATATACAATTCATGACTCCATATATATACTATATATAAACAAAATTATTAATGAACTATGTGCCATCATGCTATTGTCAACACTTAGTAATCGCATAGATAGATCTGTCCCCAACCTAATCCTTCAGGTTTTCCAATAAAGCACTGACTGCTGCCATAACAGCACTATCCTATTTTTCTCTTTCCTTCCACATTTCCCAGCATTATCTGTATAGACTGTTCAAGAGAAGACTTCACATAATGTGTCCAAAATACAATAATT